CGTGCTGACGTCGGGGTTGTTCTGCATCTTAAGGACCAGGCCGAGCGTGCCCATAATGATATTTTTGACCTGATCGGAGGGCACTGGTTGATCCTGCGAGCGTTCGATGTTGAGGAGGATGTCTCGCAGGTGCTTGCTGAGATGAGTTGCGTGCTCGCGGAGCGCGGTGGGCCACACCATCACTTGAGGCCACGCGGCTGCCATGGTGTCCGGGTCGCACTGGGCGATGCGCCTGGCTCACAGCAAGTCAAGTAGCCTAATGAGAAGGTATATGCGTACGTTTGATCGACTGAATTCCAAAAATTTCGGTTCTCGCTGTTGTCGTGTTTTTTCACCAGGTGGAAGGGATGTGTGGCGGAGAATTTCGGAACGCCTGGTCGGGTGTTAGTCATGTGAATTATGTAAGCCGCGTCACTTGCTTGTCGATCACTGTTCGCCTTCACTAACATTGTGCGCATCGAATCAGATTTCCAATGTCTTCAGCGACCTCTTCCGGACCAGCTATCGCGACTGCACAATGTCCAATATGTGGGCTGAGGTTCGATTCTATTCAGGATCTATCGAATCACGTCCAGGAGTATCTTTCAGTGACTCGCGCCTAGATTTTAACTAGCAATTGCAACTTCTCTCTCCCTTCTAGCGCGGCTTGTCTCGGCCTCCTTGTGCTTGCCCTGGTATTGCAGATGCTCGTCAACGTGTGCAGATTGATAAACTAATCTGTACTTGGCGATCGAAATATATGGACTGCAATCCTCCGATGGCGTGGTCAGGTTGAGAAGAAGCCATACATGTAAGGATTCAGATCGATTACTCTGCGTGAATAACCTGAGCGTCGAATGCTGCTTTATTATTATGCATGGTGGTCTTGGTAGCAGACGGTACTGCCCTCGTACATCCGCGGGATGGCTCAATCCAGTTCGCTTCGAAACATGTGAGGATGCAAGTCTAGTCGATGCGCATCACGCCGACGTCTCTTAGGGGGGTCCTTCCCCACCTCGGGAGTTCATGAAAGAACGATAAGCGGACGGACAGGCATAGGAGAGACAGAGGGCGGCGGCCATTAAAATGATCGCTGCTCGCTATTATACCTGCCTATCAGTTTACATTCTAGTCCCGTTCGTAAATTTTCAAACCACATATTTTTACAATGACTCAAGTTTCCCTCCTTCAAGATAAAGAAAGTCCAGAGCCGTTCGAGACATATCTCGAGAAATATTGCGAGGAGTTCCGCACATCACTTCCAGACAGAAAACAACCTACTAGACAGCGGGAAGCTATACCTCTACTCGTTCCGGAACGCCGTCTAGATTATCGTCTCCTTTGTAGGAGGTGTGGTACTCCGATTACGTTAGTGGAACTGCACAGTTCTAGCGATCTCATATTCCTCTCAAAGAAAACAGAAAACGGCCTTTTTCAAAGGGTCTATGAAGGACCACTTGCAAGCAAGAATCTAAAGATCTTCAACGTTGGTGAAGGGAATCTAGAGCGGCAATATAAACTCGTTCTAAGAAACGAGTGTGTCTATCTCCTCCATGGACCCACTTATATAGGAGTTGATATTTTCACCGCCTGTAAATCTAGGATTGGACAGCATGAATGCGTTAGAATCTCTATTCTATACTTAAGCAATATACTAACTACTCGGTAGGAGTTTAAGTTGCTATTTGCCCTAGGATCTAATAAGATAGAGTCTATAATGGATAATGACGGAGACGAGCTAGAGCCAGTTGAGGCGTTGCCCCAATTGAAAGTTAATCAGCGCCGCCAGATTGTCTCTCCTGGATCTGATAGCGAAGACGAAGCTTAAGAGTACAGACTGGAAGAGACGAAAGGACATATAGTATATAATTTTATCTCGAGAGGTTACAGAGCTAAATGTTCACCTAAAATGAAGCCTTCCAAATTCGAATGTCTTAACTAAAGCCTAGAATAGGTGGCCTCGCCAGCAATCGCGAACGGAACGACTTTCCTTAGTCGGTCGGATTCTTGCTAGGCGATGAGTTAGTAAAAGTCTATACCTGTCCTTTTTACAACATGAGGGTCGAAAAGGATTATCAAAGCTATATATGGATGATGTAGTGCGATATGATCCTGCACTAGTACAGACACACTAGCCCGGGGTAACTGCCAAGAGCGGCTTCACTCCTTGCCGGGCCAGCACTCCGATTGCCCTGTAAGTGCATCTAACTGTTTCTTTCCCAAGTATCTCGCCGGTACATCCATTAGTCTTGACCCTTGATAGACTCGCAGACTGGCGGCTGGTGTGCGACAAAGCGGCACTGGTAGCTTCATTCATGCATTGCTCGAGCGGGCTACTCTGATCGTCGTATAATTACGGGATCAAAAGTAAGTCCTCCCGCTCGAGACCTGCCTCCCAACCTAATATCCATGCTGGACTCGTTAGATTGCTTCGAAATCACATCCCTGCACAACGAATTAGAATTCCAGCCAACTAGCTGGGTATCATCATGATCTCGTCTGGGGATTTCAATGGCTTGACGTGCCTAAGGATCAGGCGAGTACATGGCCAATAAAGATTGTTTGAAGCCTTCCCAGCGCGACTTTGGTATCGTCCATACGATACCTTCCATGGTTCGCGATGACTAGAAATATAGGATCTCGGCACGATGCGCTTCAGTGACACAGCACGCATTGATCTGCTAATGTGGATGGTTTTAGTAGCGGTACATGAAAAATCAGCCGGGGGGAGAGGGTACAGTAGCGACCTGCGCAAACCGCTCCAATCAGTCATGCATCAATGCAGGACGCAGTCCTGTGGTCTTCGATGCGCCCGTGCTCTGCGCAGCTCATGGATGATAGTAGTCTTCGACATGCTCGACCGAGATGCGTGTGCCGCAAGCTGGAGCGGGGGATGTCAGTTATCGCTACTTGCTCGCCTCGCGGTTGCCTTTTATCTACCTCGCTCCAGTATGCTAAAATATATATCCTCGTCGGTGATTTACGTTGTTGCTATCGTGGTCATCCGTTTTCTTGCTTTCAGGGAATCTTTCTCGATGCAAGCAAGCATCGCCAAAGCTCAATCCAGGTCCGACCTCTACCCAAGACAGTACGTTAATTCTGTCATGGACAACAGTCTCATAGCCTGTCAACAATGTGCCACTGCGAGGGTAAGATGTAACAAAGGTCCTGTCAGTATTGTTACCATAAATTTAGCTAACTCTCAGGGGCTCACCTCTCATCACGAGATGTGAAGCAAACGGATACATGTGTCAGGTACGACGAAGAAAAAACGTTCGCAGGAACGGGTCGAAGAAGACTACAACCAACGATAAAGCCACCAAAGCTCGCTACAATTGCAAGGCTACT